TGGGGATAAGGGAGAAGAGGAAGGGATTAGACAGCATAAATATATATGTGTATATATATATATATATATATATATATATATATATATATATATATATATATAGTCATGGGACAGTGAGTATAGTATGGGAGTGGAGTCAAGGGAATTGTAATAGATATGTATGATATGGGGGTAGGGGGAGTGGAGCAGCGGAATGGGGTAGGGGGGTTGTCACTTTGAGGGGTAAAAAATATAACAATTGCACTGTGTTGTGCAGCTGAAACTAATTTTAAAAAATGTTTCACAATAAAAAATAAAAAGCAAATAAATATAAAATAAATAAATAAATAAATAATAAAAAGCACTTGTTTTAGGAAGATCACTCTACAATCTACAGGAAGGCTGAACCGGAATGAAAGGAAAAGAGGACAGCAGGGAGGCTGTTCCAGGGCAGAGCTGAGCCAGGGAAAAGGAGAGAAAGGTATGGAACATACAATACTGTCATTTTAAATTGTCTTTACATTTATTTTATTCACAACTTTTTGGTTTATAACATTTTTATTATATTTTATTCAGACTTCCCTAGGCTAAAAAGTGCTATTTTCGTATAGAATTTAAAAATTATTTTAGATGTCACTACCTAGAACCTGTAAAGTCTTTTTGAAAATGGAGATAGAGTAGAAAATACAAAGATAATGCTTGCAAAAGGGTAGAGAAACCTCCTTTGTTTTTTTCCTATACAGTGATGTCCTCCTTTCTTTTGCTTTTCCCTCCAAAAGCACCTCAGTCTAATGTTTTTGGTAGGAAAATTTTACCTGTTGAGACATAACCAATGTACTATGAATAATTCAGCATCTTTTTTGGATTATTTTTACTCTAGATCTTACCTTCTTCACTGAGGCTCACCTACTTATACAATGTTACCAAATAACATCTTATCATTAAAACATAATATAGGTGATTGGTCTAAAGAATTCTTGCCTCTTGATTGGCTGTATTCAGCTTGTCTTCCAATTCTTTCTTCAGGTGTTCTAGCTCCTGTTGAAGCTGATTTTTATCCTCTTCCAGTTTCAGTTTTTCCTTTTTATATTGTTCCTCCAATTCCTTAGGAAAAATAATTTTTTAAAAAATTAACAAAATTTCAAATATTGTATACTTCAAAGACTCCAAGAAAAACAAGTCCAACAAGACTATTCTGTTTATATTTTGATACTTTACCTTTCAAATTAACCACACCTGTAATTAATAATGCCAGAATTAATAGATCTAATTAATCCTAGGGGCTCAAATTCTATCATTCTCAATGACTTATGATGTAGCAGTTAAATAATTTTCAAATGGTAAGAATATTTGTTCTAGATCAAATTGTAGTCCAAAAAGCCAGAAATGTGTGATATAAATGACAATTTGGTGAGATAAAGAACAAACTCTATCTCTTGAATTAAGATTTCTTTTATATTTATATATTTTAAAAACCCAGGGGCCGGCCGAGTGGCTCAGTTAGTTAAGAGCTGGCTTAAGAGTGTGAGCTCTGAGCAACAGGGCCGCCAGTTCGAGTCCCACATGGGCCAGTGACACTGTGCCCAAGCTGAGCTGTTGCTGAGTTGCCAACAGGTGGCAGGATGGCTCAGCTGGTGTAACAACAAGATTGCCTGTTTGATGGTGGACTACGTACGCCCACCTGCAACTAAGACTGAAGTTGGCACCTTGAGCTGAGCTGCCGCCCAGATGGCTCAGTGGATAGAGCATGTGCTCTTAACAACAAGGCTGCTGGTTCAACTCCCGCATGGGATGTTGGCTATGCCCACCCGCAATTAAGATTGAACACGGCACCTTGAGCTTAGAGGCCATGAGCTGCCAACAGGAAACCAGATGGTGACTGGCACCCTCCACAATGAAGATTGAAGGTCAACAACTCGGCTGGTCCCCTTCCCCAATTCCCCAACACTGTTCCCCTCCCCCAATTCCCCAATAAAATCTTAAAAAAAAAAAATCCAGTAGCACTTCTGGAACTCAGTGCCAGACTGGAACATAGCCAAGAATTAACAAGTACAAAACTCAAGACATCTGAAGAGCAATACCAGAAAAATTGATACTTACCAAAGAGCACCTACTATTTACCAGGCATGTGTTAATATTTAATTACAATTGCAGTAAGACATGGTGCTTGCCCTTAATAAGCTCATTGTACCAAGCAATTGAAAAATGTGATTAAAATTTTACATATATGGGGAGTGCAGGAGTATATGGATGGGGAACTGATAAGTTCTATTGTAGCTTGGTGGGGCGTCCTTCACAGAGAAGGCTGTTCCTAAGTACATTCTGAAGAAGAGCCCCAGTAAGAAAAGATGGTGAAGCCAGAGGGAAACGCAACATTCTAATCAGAGGAAAAAGCATGCGCAAAACACCAGGGAGGTACAAAAGAACACGGTATGTTACAAGTAGTTTAATGCTTTATAGAAGTAAGGTGACAGGAGTAGAAAGCAGGGCTCTCTGTGTTGGGAATTCCCAAGACAAACTCCAGGTTCGATGATTTGTTGAGATGACTCACAGGACTCCTCATATAGTCATACTCACAGCTATAGGTTGTTAGAGCAAAAGGATACAACACACAGTCATCAAAGGGAAAAGGAACAGGGGACAGACACAGTGCAGGCAGCCAGGCACAAGCTTCTAAGTTCATCTCACACGGGACTGCCTGGCAGGCTGTGACACCACCTGTGAAATACTGTCTACTAGGAAAGTGCACGAGAGACTCAGTGCTCACGTGTTTTACTGGGGGCTGGTCACATAGGCACCCCGAGTAGCATGCACCAAAATTCCAGCCTCTGAGAAGGAAAGCAGGTGTTTGGCATAAACCATATTGTTCACATAAACAGTTTAGACACAGTGAGCCATTCTTATCAGGGAATGGTGGGGAACCCTTCAAAATTTCAAGTTCCCACACACCCGCCAGGGGCCAATCTTGCCCCATGCCTTTCGAAGGATGGCAGTGTCAGGCCTGCTGTGTTCAATTTTTTTCTGTATGGATTCTCGGCATATCTGCTTTCAAAGGGGGTGAGTGAATTAGAGTGATAAAGGGAAATATATAGTAGTCCTCCCTTATCTGCAGTTTCAGTTTATGTGGTTTCAGTTACCTGCATTCAACCGCAATCTGAAAATACTGAATGAAAAATTCCACAAATAAACAGTTCCTTAAGTTGTAAACTGAGCCCTGTTTTGAGCAGTATGATGAAATCTCGGGCTCTCCCGCTCAGTCCCGCCCCTAATGTGAAGCACCCCTTCGTCCAGCACATCCACGCTGTCGATGCTCCCCGCCTGTGAGTCCCTCAGCAGCCATCTCAGTTATCAGATTGACTGTCCGGTATCACAGTGCTTGTGTTCAAGTAACACTTACTTTACTTCATAATGGCCTTAAAGACATTCACATAACTATTACAGTATATTGTTATAATTGTTTTATTATATTATTATTGTTAATCTCTGACTGTGCTTACTTTAGAAGTTATACTTTATCATAGACACGTATGTATAGGAAAAAAACAGTATATATACAGTTTGGTACGATCTGCGGTTTCAGGCATCCATAGGGAGTCTTGGAACATGTCCCCTGCAAATAAGGGGGGACCACTGTAAGCCTTTAGATAACTAAGTAGTAAGGAATGGAGAAGTCAATTTCAACTAAATGTTCTTTAAAAGATAATCTGACATTGAAGAAGGACCATTCTGGAAGCAGGCTGGTTTTAGTTTAAGCTCAGACATCAGCTAGCTAGGTGAGAGGAATGAAGCAGCCAGTGATAAACAAGTTATTGTGAGAAAAAAAGGGTGCAGACAAGGCTACCGTAAAAGGTGTGGACTATGTTCACATACAGGAAACTTCTGTCATCTCGCTTACGGCAACCACGCTTTAAACAAAGATTGTAAAACATGTAAGTGACTGAAAGCAGATTTTCAGGTGACTGGGAAATTGAAATGTAATGGGTGAAGGGATTAGGAGTGAAGAACAAAGGCAAAAATGATACTGAAAGATGCCTTGATTCTAACACTTACAACTACTTACGATAGAGGAATAGAGAGAGGCAAAAGGCAGGGCCCCTGCAAATTAAATATTCTAATAAGAAAGGAGAAAGGCAAAGATGATAAAGGGATGTAGAAATGAAAAACAATAACAAAAAATAGCTATGGAAGAGATGACTGAAGCAGCAGTTACCATTAAATACTTTACTATAAAACCTTAAACACTTAATACACACATCCATAGTCGGTTAGCACATACATGGACCACAATTAAAGCTGTACAAACTGGCCCTGGAATGGTGAGCAACAGAAAAAACAAGAACCACAATTTTGAAGGTGGCAGGATGGCTCAGCTGCTGAGAGCAGTGCTCCTAACAACAAGGTTGCCAGTTCGACTCCTGCATGGATGATGGGCTACGCCCCCCGCAACTAAGATTGCAACAGAGCACCTTGAGCTGAGCTGCCGATGGGTGGCCAGATTGTGATTGAGCTTGGAGCTGAGCTAGCTGCGCCCTCCCCAACTAAGATCAAAGGACAACAAATTGGCCGTTCCCCTTCCCCAATTCCCCAGTAACAAAATCTAAAACAAGAACCACAATTTTGAGAAATAATTTATCATTAAGTTTTGTCTCTAGCTACATAAACCTATAATAGTCATTTAGATAGAAATAACAATCTAACAGAAATTTTTATTTGAATTTTTAATTACGTTTAGGGTTTGAATACTTTTTCCAATTAGTTGTGTCACAAAAGGCAGGGACATAGAGGCAGAAGATCTCAGCTCACCTCCTATCTCTTTCATTTACTAGGTTTGTGGCTCTAAGTAAATAATTTAGGATTATTAAACCTATTTCACCATCTACAATATATAATAAAGTAATAAGGGGTACGTAAGAAACCTCTTAGTAAACTGTAAAGTGCTATTATATAAAACATATAACAACCATCATGAATACATGTGTAAACACGTATGATGTGCTGGTTAAATGCTTTAGGGTTTGCTATTTGAGACCTGAGTTCAAGGCCTGATTCCTACTAGTTGCATGTGTTTGAGCAAGTGTTGAACCTCTCTGTGCCTCCATCTCCTCTTCAGTAAAATGGGTATAGCTGTGTTATAAGAATTATATGAAAAAAGGATTAAACATAAAACATCACTGCCATGTCTAGCACACAATAAGAAACACTAATAACTAACATTTATTTACCACTATATGCTAGGACATGTCTTGGTTCTTAACACTGTACCTCACTTAACGCTCACAGGAACATCCTAAGACGGGTCTTTCCCTCCTCTGTCAGATGAAGAGCCTGGAGCATAGCTTTTGGGTTTCGACATTAGGCAATTAGGAAGCAACAGGCTCCTGTAAGGCCCAC